GAGTTCGTTTAACCTTGAAAAAACTGCAAAAATTAAATTTAATTTTCTACATATTGTGTGACAAAATTCTTAAACAGTGTGACGTTTTTCAAACTAGACCAGGGCATGTTTTTTAATTTGAAAAAAAAACTCGTAAGAAAGGTCTACAAATATATCTGTGTTATTGTATTTTTAGGATAACTATAAGCCTCAGATAATCATTAATATTAAACTGCTTGATGGTTTTCAGCCTACGCAGTTGCCAGGCTAGATTCTTCAACTAAAAGCACTGACAACAAACCAACTAAGAGTGACTCACCACCCAAGGAGAGTGGCTCAGAAGATGAGGGGAAGAAATACTTCAACTGGGAAAGGGATGAATACGACGAGTTCAGCTACTACGACTACGAAGAGGACATGAAGCATTTGAGACTGCCTCAGCCGAGTCCCTACTCTTAATGATAGCAGCAGCTGAAATGTAGTTACTCATCAAACACTCAGTCTTTTTATTTTTGTAGAAATTACATTTACTTACACTGCCTTTTCCATAAGACTACTGGCGCTCTGCATTTATGAGTTCGTTTTTGAAACGTTCGATGTTCGTTGGCATAGTTTTCGCTTCGGACTGGTTCCGCTAGTTGACATTCTTAAACATCCAAAATCTTCAAATTTAATTTACCAAAATGAGGAAAAATGGATTTATCAACAGCCTTTGACATAATTTGTCACATTAAATCCGAACCTGGAATCTGAGAGTATCCGCGAACTACCTCATCGATAGCCGTCTCCGTCTCTTCTTTAATAAAAAAGTGGTTATAACAAAACCAGTTGACGAAAAAATTCAAAAAAAAAACTATACGCATTTATTTGGTTAAAATGCGTTAATGCAGATTCACTTTTGCGCAAGTTATAAAAAGTGCCAGACAGGCTGTTTTTACTTAGTCAATTGGCTCCATTTATTGCGTAAAAGAAAATAACAGCCTGAACGGGATCAACCGACCTAGAGGCAAATTCTGAAAAAAGATCTTGATTATTTTGATTATCCTTTAATCAAGAAGAGTCAACTTTCATTTGGAGTCAAATTGCGCAACTACACTGATACCTCAAAGTGATGAGGAAGACTCTATTTCTCCACCAACTGAGTTTTCACAATGCAACTCGATTTTGTCACACTTTTCTTTGCTTATCTGTACCCTGCTTGTCAATGCCTCGTTTTTCTCATGGGTCGTCTTTTCTCCCAAGAATCGTTGCCTGAAACAGCTTGTTTTCAAAATTGTATCTGTAGAAACTTCCAATTATACATTTGCCCAACTTGACTGTGATCACAATTCCAGCATTTCAGCGATGTTTGTTGACATAGTTTTCGCTTCGGACTGTTTTCGCTATTTGACATTCATAAACATCCAAAATATTCAAATTTAATTTACCAAAATGAGGAAAAAATGGATTTATCAACAGCCTTTGTCACATTAAATCCGAACCTGTAATCTGCGACTATTCGCGAACTACCTCATTTATCTATCATATACCTCATTTACCTATTTAATCTTCACGTTTAATAAATGTGGTTTTTCGCTCGACTTTAGCTACAATATCTTTCACTTTGCCTTCATCTTCACTATGATCTTCTACAGTGATTCCACATTCACAAGAGTTGTCATCTATGATGGTTGTACCGCTTTGTAAATCCTTGCAAGACTGCTCACTCGGGTCATTTTTATCCGTCCTTTCTAAATCAGTAAAGTTTAAATTCTAAAATCGAAAAATCGAGTATATTCTAAAATCAAGAAACGCCAAAAAGCCACAAAATCTAATTCCTGAACACTTGCCTGATTGCGATCGATTCATATCTTGGTCATTCCGCTTTTTCTTAACGATAACATCAGCCTCATCCTTTTGTAAACATCAAGACCTACGCAATTACCAAATTGCGCAACTACACTGATACCTCCAAGTTATGAGGAAGACTCTATTTCTCCACCAACAGAGTTTTCACTATGCAACTCGATTTTCTCACTTTTCTTTGCTTATCTGCACCCTGCATGTCAAGGCCTTGTTTTTCTCATGGCTTGTCCCTTTCTGCCAAGAATCTTCGCCTTAAACAGCTTGTATTCAAAATTGTATCGGTAAAAACTTCCAATTATACAGTTTACCAACTTGACTGTGATCACAATTGCTGCATTTCCCTCCATTCTACAATAAGTGCATTCATTGGACTATTTATTTCTCTAAGAATACTCAGTTTTGTTTAAAAACCAGCCGCCTCTTGAGTACTCAGAGAATATGAAAAAGCACTAAGGCGTACAGATTTTACCATTGGCTATCTTAGAGCTCCCGTCTTTACCTTTATTTAAAGGCGCTCCTAATGGCGTACCTCCACTTGTTTCTAGATGCTTTGCACAAACTTAGTCCTTTTCCATCTCTTTAGTGGAACTTATTGACCAAGGTTTGACCTTTTTTAAAATGGGTTGTCCAATTTCCTGCATTATTTTCTCAAGACAATTTTCCAAAAAGTTTGTGCAGAAACTGACTTTTTTCACGAAATCCGACTCCATCGCGCTGCACTTCTTTCTTAAAATGGCCATCTGCCTATTTAAGCATATCTTAAAACTCTTCATTTCGTCATCCGATCGTTTCTCCAACATTTGCTGCCGAGCTGAATGAAGAACCTTCTCAGTTTCGCAAAAAGATGCTTTCATTTTTACCGATAGAGGCTTTTCGATCTGGAAACAAATTGTATCATTTTGATCTCTCAGCGAGTCTATTCAAGTATATTCTGGAATTTCCATTTTGTCAAATTAAACATGGAAACTGTCTCACTCGTTGACTTTGCTATCTCAGTTTCAGACAATGCATAATTTCAAATAATCAACTTAGTTTCGAACAATGCTCAGCCAAACTGATTTATTTCTTTTTGAACAGAAAAGATACTAGTCATCAATTACAGAACAATAAGAGAACAAAATTGAGCGTCAACAGAAATGTTATGGATCTGAAAACACCAAATCTGACCACGACATGGGATTTATCCAGTCAAAGTTTCAATTTTTTGCGCTTTAGCTGAGTCTTTCTACATTTTTGACTTTTATCTTTCTCGTTTTGGGCTCTTGATCGCTTCCTAAATAACTCATGCTATAAACAGATTCTTCCAGGAAAAAAGGCCTAAATAGCTCCTGATTTAAACAGATTCTTTAAGGAAAAATAACGGAATCAAGTAACTCATTATTGGAACTTAGCTCTTCACTCGAAATAGACAAAAACTTCATGCTCAAATCTGTCTTTTTTCTTTCCTGATCACTTTTTACAGAGTTACCTCACGTTTCCCAGTTTCCCAAGGCACAGTCACCCAGCATCCTTTTTTCATTTTTCTTGAATCCAACGTCAATTTCGGTAGCGCACGGTCCTAATCCAGAGCGAGAGTTAAATAAGCCGGTATTTCCTTCTCGTGTTCCCTTCAGGATTACATCAGATGATCCGTAGCCCGATGATGATAGCTGTTCAAGATAGAATTTTCTGTCAGCGATTAGCTCAATTGCAACAGACTTGGAAAACTTCGCATCATTATCTAAAGTTCTGTCCGGCGTTTGGGGTTCACTCACTCCTATAAACTCAATTGCTTGTCACAATCCTTTTTCAATTCTACTCAAAGAATGGATTAAAACTTTGGTGATACGGTTGAGGTCAACAACTCAATCTCAATTTTGTTAACACAATTGTTTTAATCCATTTTCAAAATCGATAATTGGACTACACAAACAAACCTGTATCAACATGTTTCATCTCAAAAAATGGCCATACCGGGGCTTCTGTGGTCAAAAAGTTACGTCATAGTTTGGGCTTTTGACCAATTGGGAATGAAGAGTCTAGTTTACGCTTGTTATAAAACCGGAGTAGCTAAAATTGTTGTAACAGGAAATCTGTTGATCTCTGATGGTTTTTACTTTTATGAGAATCAAGCCACTAATTTTCTCTTCCCTGGAACAAAAACCGGTAAGAAAGTGCGAAAATCTGAAATGTTTTTATATGAACCAGTCACTGATACGGTTATCAAAGACTACTGTTTATCACTCAAAGACTACTGATAAAAGACTACTGATAAACTTATCAAAGACTTATGTTTATCACTTAAAGACTACTGTTTATGACGACAATTCTTATGGCTTTGTTCCCAGTTTTCGTTTCAACGTTAGTCTATTGACTTTTGTCGGCTTTGTGGCCGGTCGATAAATGTAAAAGTTTATTTTCCAATGTTAAGCGTGTTTTTCCGACTATTAAAAGCGGTTTTTCTGAAACTGAATTTTTCATTCATTCCAAAAAAAAATTCAACGGTTTTCGACTGAATTGTTTCCGTCGTTGTTCGCTAGCTTGCAATGCTATGCTTGCGTTGCATCTTAACTGATGTGACGCTCTGCTTCGCCTTTGTGCTAACGTTTAATTAATCTGTTCCTGGCATTCAAATTAGCGACATATCTTCCTCCCCACAAAACTTTTTTCTGAATATTTATCAGATTTTTAATCTAAGTTTGAATATATAAACATAGACGGAGTGAAGAGGTGAGTTTTTTATATAAACGAAGTGAAGAGGTGCTCCGCTTTGCCTCTGAAGAAAAAGTGCAGCTTATATCATAGTTTTCAGTTTTTTATAATCCATAAGAGTTTAATCTCACCTGTTTTCAGGCGGCTCAGAGCACGAAAAATGAACTGTTTTTTCCCTTGCTCTAAGGGAAAATTTTGGGCGAGAATCCAAGTATATGAATTGGAAAAAAAAATCGGTAGAATTAATGGCTTACCAAATAGCAAATAAAATCAAATAGCAAACAGAACAAACATGTTAAATTTTTTCAAGTCAACGTTTAACCGAGACACCCAATTTTTTCCCTTGGAAACAATGAAAAACGAGTTTAGTTTTGAAAGTGAATCTGCATATTATGAACAGTTTTATTGCAAATCGCTCGAAAAATTTGAATTTGGATGCGGTTATTTATGATTTTTTGATGGAATAACTCAATTGGTACATCTACATTCAGAGTTGAGAATGAGTGTGCGAGCGGCAGTTGTGACCATGTGCTTTAGGAGTGTCGTCCTCCCAACAACCACAAAGTCTTCGCTTACTCTTCTGGACAAATGTCAACTGAAATCAGGTACTAAAAATTTTCTGATCTCACTCGGCTTCTGTTTTCTAGCTAAAACATTGCGTTGGAGTATTTTCCTGGAAAATTTGAATTATCACCTGTGAAAAACTGCAAAACTGTACTAAATTGCTTTTCAATTGAGTTCGTTTAACCTTGAAAAAACTGCAAAAATTAAATTTAATTTTCTACATATTGTGTGACAAAATTCTTAAACAGTGTGACGTTTTTCAAACTAGACCAGGGCATGTTTTTTAATTTGAAAAAAAAAAACTCGTAAGAAAGGTCTACAAATATATCTGTGTTATTGTATTTTTAGGATAACTATAAGCCTCAGATAATCATTAATATTAAACTGCTTGATGGTTTTCAGCCTACGCAGTTGCCAGGCTAGCTTCTTCAACCAAAAGCACTGACAACAAACCAACTAAGAGTGACTCACCACCCAAGGAGAGTGGCTCAGAAGATGAGGGGAAGAAGTACTTCAACTGGGAAAGGGATGAATACGACGAGTTCAGCTACTACGACTACGAAGAAGACATGAAGCATTTGAGACTGCCTCAGCCGAGTCCCTACTCTTGATGATAGCAGCAGCTGAAATGTAGTTACTCATCAAACACTCAGTCTTATTATTTTTGTAGAAATTACATTTACTTAAACTGCCTTTTCCATAAGAAAAAGCGAGGAGTGGCAACCGGTTTCAGCCAATTAATTTAGAGCGAAGTGAATTCTCACTCATTTTGGCCGTGCAGTTTCAAAGCAACCTGGTACTAGATGTTTTCCTGTAAATACCTTTGCTCGCAGAATGGTCAAATGCTAATTTTTTTAACCGATGAATTCAAAGCTTGATTGGGGTGTTAATTGCATATGTACCGCTGGACGTTAAAAGCTGCAGATGAACCTTTGGAGTTGCAAAGTATTTTTTATCTGTTTCGAAAGTTTTTTGTAGATTTTCGGGACTTTATTTTTGTCGATGTATTTTCCTAATATTTTTTAATTTTAGTTTTCGTTGATATAAAATGAGAGCGGTTCAACACTAACGAGATTTTTGGAAAAATCTAACTCACCCTCTTAAGCCTTCAGTAAAAAAAACTTTGGAAAGTAAACATTAATAATTGTCAAAATTTTACAAAGTACACATGAAAAATTGTCGAAATTACTTAAAAGATGTTTCGTTCATTTGTTAGCATAGGTCGCAACCTTTAATAAATTCGTTGCGCGACCTGCTGTAATTCTTACATTTGCGAACGGCAAGCATTAAGAAATTGGAATATAGGGTTTTCTTCGGGTTAATTTGTTAAACAAAATAATTGAACCCTTTGCTCACTTTACATTAATTGTATATCAAGTGACAGATAACAACTTGGCGTGTTTATCTTGGAAGTAGCGTCCGTGCTTGCGGCAACTAAGTTAATGGATTCGATACTGGCCAATTTTTTTAAAAAAAGCTTCTTGCTGGTATTCTTTCGATGCCTATTTAATATTCACTTTTTAGGCCAAAAGTATTTCAGACTCTTATAAAAGCCGCGAGGGTGTTTATTTTTCAGGAAAGGTATCTTTTTTAAGAAATATATTTATGAATACTCTTAGGTATATATGCGCTATTTGAGTTCATTTCAATTTTATCTGCTAAAAGTTAGATAAGTTGCGGTCTCCAATTACGAAAGTGGAAAATTCGCGAAAAACGTGATCGACTTCTGGTTTTGAAAGTGGAATTTGAATTTGAGAATTTGCAGCGAAATTAAAAGTTTATATATTGATCCTGTTTTCTCAAAAAGTATCAGTTATGAATTGCTCTAGAAATTTTCTCTGAAGTTTGATGGTAGGGATTTTTTCAAAAAAGTCGAAAATTTTTTTACATGCGTTCATTGACTTTTTTGAAACGAATTCAAGAGGAAATCAAGACAAATGCAGGGAAATTTTTCCCAGAGTATTTTTTAAAAATCGTGAAAAAACTCTGGGGTTTCCATATATTCCAGTTGGTGTTTTTGTGACAATATGAATTTGTTGAATCGCTAGTAATAATGAGCCTCGTTTCGTTTTTATTTTTCAATACTCTTTTACCTTTTCAATAAAATTTGTGAAAATAACTGAACCCTTTGCTCACTTACAGCAATTGTATATCAAGTGACAGATACCAATTTGACAGATACCAACGACAAAGGCAATGGGTCCGATACTGGCCAGTATTTTTTCTAAGGAAAATTTTTGTTAATTGGCCGAACGTGTGCCTGCTCAAGAATTGTTGGCTTTATTACCGCTTTTTGCAGGTTTTGTTTCGAATGCTTCTTTAACGTCAAAATTTTAAGAGTCTATGAACGTAGTTCAGACTCTTATATGGGTCGCGATGATGGTTTTTCAGGAGAAAAGTTTTTTCAGTAGATGTGTTTATGAATGCTTTTAAGTATATATGCACTATTTGAAAAAAAGCATCAATCATAAATTGTTCTAGAAATTCAAAGTGCTTTAAGGGCATCTGTTTTTTCTTTGGATCTCGAAATTAAAGGTTTTTGCGAAAAAGCCGTTTTTTTGCTCAAATTTATTGGGTTTTTGAAATGAATTCAGAACGAAATCAAGACAAGTGTAGTAAATAATTTTCGTATAGTAATTTTGTTCATCTTTTTTTTTGAAAAAAATGTGCGGCTTTTATCTATTTCCGCGTTTATTTATTGCGTTAAACTTCTCTTTGCAGGAAGCCTCGCTTTGTTTTTTTCTAATAGTTCATGCTTGCTGGTAATTTAGTTCCAAGATTTTGTTTAGTTAGGGTTTTAATAATTAAAAAAGTGTTTTAAAAATTTTTGATTTGTCGTCTCATCTGCAAGTAGTAATAATCGTTCAGTTTTGTGTTGATAGTGCTATTAAATTCTGATTCGCTTCTCTTATGATTTTTATTTCACTCTGACAAACAGTTTGAAAGCTTGAAATCGAATTTAACGATCATCATTTAATTTTTTTTTGGAATTTAGCTCAAATTTTTTCGGGTGGCTTGCTGTATTTATCCTAGTGTCTTTGGTAATTGAAAGGTTGAATTGAAATCAAATCTCAAAGCGTTTGTTTAAAAAGTTTTGCTCAATATCTGAGAGATTAGCTTTTGAAACGTCAAATTTTGTTTTTGTTGGCGTTTTTTTTTTTTTGATAAACTGGTTGTAGTTCTCGTCCTGCATAGTTTTTCGTGTTTTAATATTACAAATCCATTCGAATAGCGTGATCTTTTTAGTTTTTCTACAAGCGCAGTTTTTTTTTAAAAAAAAGTCCTAAGTTTCCGAAGTTGATTTTTTTTTTCACTTTTGATGCGTCATTCGTCTTCAAACGGTACTGGACGAGCTTACTACTTGTGAGCAGATAAAATAAAAACGGAAATTCAAAAGTCTTTAGCGGCAAAATAAATGCTCGCTATTCCCTGTTTTAACCGACGTCGTCTACCCACATTTCGTGTGCCTACTCACGGCCCGGTAAATTTTGTCTGGATGCTAATTTGAAGCGGGCTATCGAGTTTCGCGACAGAATTTCTTTAAATTGAATTCATTTCGAGTCAATTTTCTAAAAGTTTTTGATGAAGTTTTTTTAAATCATTTTATTTTGACTGGCTGTCATTATTTGCTGGCATCTCATGTAGCGCGAAGCTCCGTTTCGCCTCTGCCTCATTTTCGAATCGTTCGTTGTATTTGTATTTTCTGAGCTGAACTGTTTGTTCCATCTGAATTTGAATTAATTCCCTCGGAAAAGTTCATCCTAACTAATTTCATTTGAACTGAATTAATTCTAAGTCTTTTTTCCCAATTGCGTTCATTCCAACTGAGTTTATTTCTTTTGAGTTAATACCAACTTAGTAGACTCCCGAATGAAGTCAATCGAAATCATATCGCTACAACAGTTCAATCAATTGAGATTATTCTTATCTAAATCAGCCCTACTGAGTTCATTCCAAGTTAATTGTTCCGACTTTCGAAAACGGAATATTTATGCTCGGTGTAGTTTTTTTATTGAGTCAATTTTCGCAAATAATAGTTTTCGACAAAAATTTTTTATACCCCATTGGAGATATCGACTTCCTGAGTTCAAATTTAAAAAGATACTTTACCTCCGATTATTTTTTTAAAAGTTTTGGGGGTTTGAAAATTGCCAAATTGGCCATGCTCTGGGCTAAATTATGAGCGCTTTGAAGAATTTATTCATATTGTTGAGAGCGTAACGCGAATTATTTATGCGTGGCAAATTATCCCGCACAAACAAAATCGTTCCAAATTGAATTGAGGCTAGTTAATCGGTCGTATTAATTTCGTACGACTCAACATTTCACAACACTTTGATATTGTCCAAAATTTATAGGTTTTCAATATTTTCTTTTCCCAAAAACTTCGATATGAATTAAGAGACAGTCGGAACATTCAGGGCTTTGCCCTGATATACGAGCAGTCTGGTTCATTCCTTTTGTTTTCATTACAAATGAGTTCATTCCAACTGAGTAGACTCCCGACTGCGCTCAATCGAAATTATGTTGTTACAACAGTCATTTCAATTGAGTTCTTTCTAAGTTAAATCATCACAACTGCGTTCGTTCCAACTATATTCATTTCAACTTAATTCGATTCATTTGAAATCTATCCATTTGAGTTCATTCCAAATGTGTTGATTCCAACTGTTGATTCCATCAGTTCATTGCAACTAAGTTCACTGAAACTGAATTTGTTCCAGTTTAGTGTATTCTAACTTAGATCTTTGCAACTGGGTTCATTTCTTCAAACTTTTTTCCAACTGTCTTAGGTTTGTTAACCAGTTTGCAGTCTAATAAAGATAATTTTTTGTGTCAATGAACGTAATCAGTACGCTTTTATAGGTCGTGCCTTGAAAGTTGTTCACGCTCAAAATTGGTTTTAAGCTGTTTGACCTTGATTGATTTTTGTATTACTCGAGGAAAATTTTCATTAGTGCAATTTAACGTGACTTCGTTTCAAAAAATATATGTTATTTTTGCAAAATTTAAGCGGAGTAAAAACAAAGATCTTTTATTCCCGTTTTCTTGAAAGGTGTTAGTATCAAGAAACAGTGCCAATAATATAAAAAGTCAATCATTTTTATAGTTCATGACATTTTTTCAACTGTATGTCGGCTTTTTAAAAATTCCTTTTCTGATCTTAAACAATATTAAAATCTAATTCTGTCTCGAATATACCTTATATCTTTGAAGCACTATTCTTATGGTCTAAGTGGAAAGCACAAGCCTTCGGAAAATAGATTTTAAGTTTCAAGTCCCAGCTGTTTCAAGTCTCAGAATTGTTGGACTATCGTTCGTCTGCTTTTTTTGGCTTAATTTTTGAAAAATTGGTTCTTTTTCCTTCCATATTGCACAGCTTTCTGATTCAAGCAGTTTCGGCTATAATTAAAACTCGTTGTTTAAAAAAAAATTGTAGAGTTACCAACACTGGTTGTGTCTTTTTTTGTTTTGATCTCGTTTCATTTTTTTCGTTTGAATGATTTCGGGTTTTTTATCGGCATATTTACTCACTTTGCGTCATTTGGAAAAAATTTGGGTACATGAAATAGTCCTATATTTTTAATGGTAATTTTTGTTCCGGTTCAACTGACGCATCTACCGAAGTATTGTCGGCATGTTTTCAAAAATCTATTTTAATTGGCAGTATTCACAGCAGAATAAAAAATTACCTTTTGACTCAGGTTTTTAATTGGGTTAGTTTTATGAAAGAAAAAGTCATTCGTAAACGTTTCCTGCTAATGAAAAAGCTTAAACATGAAAAAATTTTTCATCGAAGTTAGAAAATTATAAAATATTCAAATAAAATCAACCATTCGGTTTCCTTGTTCATTTAAACGTTTCCAACTGTCTGTTGGTGGCTATTTGTTTTTATTCCTTATTTTGAAAATGGTTGAAAAACTATCTGCTTGAGATTTCAAAGACATCATGGTAAATACTCTTGCGATCAGCAAGCGTTATCGAATTGGAATGTAGGGAATTTTTTTCTGGTACACAACTTGTCTAACTGAGTCATTTGATAGTTTGGTGCATAATCAAATCAATTTACGGGTGTGAAGTTGCATGTTCAGCCTGGAAGTGACGTCCATACGTGGCACTCAGGGTGTATGGGGTTCGAATGAGGCCAGGAACTGTCTTTTTTTTGCTAAAAATTTTTGCACTTGAAAAAAGTCGGATTATTGTTAAAATGCTTATATTTGTTGGCTTAGTTCCCAAAACATAGATTTTACCTATGTGTTTTTGGCAATATATGTTTTTGATATATGTTTTGGGACAATAATTTTTTTGTTCAATCATTCTACTCTTGATGGACAGGAATCAATGAATGGAGTCTTGTGTTAATTTGTTTGATTTTATGAGATCAATCAGATAGCAGAAATTAGGGGCCAGATTTTGAGCACAGACAATTTCAAGCAGTTTTACTTTTTCTACACAGCTTTTTCTGTTATGGTGTAGTTTTCCAATTTTTTTTTATTCGAGTATGTAAATGGTAAGTGAATATGAGTTGTCTGTTACATAAAATTGAAAAAAAAATTAGTAACCTTTTTTAAATGTTATGGAGTAAAAAGTTTTTTTTTTGGAGATTGAAATGATATTCACTGAGTTGTGTGTTATTGTTATGTATTAGACAAGTCAAAGGTAACTTTGTCGCTTTTTGTTGAAGGCATAATTGCACAAGCAACACTTGAGCTTGGAATTTCCAGTGCATTTTACTAGCAAGTTGCACATTTTTCCGTCAATTTAGTTTTCTCTACCAATAGTTTTCTCTAAATAGGCATCAGTGGCCAAACGGAAACGCATTTGCCCAAAAAGCGACAGGGAACCGGTTTATTCCTTCGCCCTCCCAAATGCTTCTTCAACTTTTGTGTTTTCTTAAGTTTTCTACTCTCCTTGGTTGTTTAGAAAATTACGCTTGTGCCAAAAGAAGTATACATTCTAATTGAATCGGTTGCATCTAATTGAACTGTTTTATTTTTTCAGAATCAAGAATGGCTTATTTTCAAACTAATATTAAGACGTGGATCTATTACTGATTGCATTTTTAAAATTTTTCTGTAGATCTCGGATGGGTGTTGAAGGCAAATCAATGCTGGAAATATGACTGTTGAAACCTTCAAGTTTTCGAGAAAAAGCTGTTTTTGTGAATCCTGATGTTAACTTAGGGAAGAAAAATCTTTTTTTCCCTTTTATTTTCTTATTCTTTTTGATTGATCGCTTGCAGCTGACGTAAACCTGCAATTTGTTGTTCAAACATACAACGCTATAAAAACGCTGTTTTTTTATTAATAGCTTTTTTCATGTTTTTAAAATGTTTACACTTGTTTTTCATTATTGTTCACTAAGATTTTCAAAATTAGTACGTATGTTGAATAGGGTAACCTTTAAAAGGACATTACCTTTGCTTTTTTATTCGATAGCTGATGAATTGTACTGTTTAAAAATTAAAAAAAGAGTTTCCTTTAAATTTGTAGAATTGATTTACAATGTATGAAGAAATATATTCTTTTCTTTCAGAATTACTTGTTTTTAAAAATGGTTGTTTCATTTTTTGCGATGGTTTCGTGCCGATCAGTTTGATTGATGTTTTAAGCGTGTTAATGCACGAATTGCCTTTCAAAATATTTAGCGCATGTGGTTTATTCTTGTTTTTTTTTTCTTTATTATTTCATTCAGATAGCTAATTAGTTTTCTTCGAATTGACGCCTCAACTCAGTATTCCAACTGAAATGCAATAAGCGCTCTCCAATGGTGAAATTGCAAATGGCCCGAAATGTAAAGCTTAGATTTTCGGTTTAAATTTTGTTTTAGTTTGAGTATTTCCGGCAGAATAGGAAAAAATGCCTTTTGATCAGGTGTTTTTTTTAATCGGGCTTTAATCAAAAAAACAACTTTTGAAGTTTCAATGAACGTAGTGAAGACATTTTTATAGTCGTGATGATTTTTTTTTCAGGAAACTCCACTACCAAACAGCAAAAGTGTAAAGGTCACAAAAAATGTGATCGACTTCTAATTTTGAAAGTCGATTTTATTTTTCAGAATTTCGAGCGGAATAAAAACTTAACATATGAATCCAGTTTTCCCCAAATTGAGTTAACTTTATCATAAAAGATAAAAGTGTTAAACTTAATTGTCTCCTTCCTTGAAATTTAAAGAGCTTTAAGACCATCTATTTTTCTTTGATATTCGAAAGTTGGTAATTTTAAGGCGCATTGCGTTATTTGAATCTTTTCCAACTGTCTGCAGACTATGTTTTCATCTTCATCAATTTAAGATGGCAAAAATTGGAAGATCTATATGGTGTAATTTGTTCTACGAAACACGAGATTTGTTCTTGTTTTCTACGAATTTTCTACGAGTTTCCTAAGAATCAGGGATTCGACCCTCAGCCGACCCAAAGGGTCCCCTTTTGTACTATTTGAGATATCCATTTTTGGCTAACCCTTGTAAATTTTATAAGCGCCAAAATTACTTATTTTGAGGGGAAGGGGGCGTACCGAAAAAATCCTGATTTTTTGTTCAAAAGTTTCTAAAAAGGCTTTTTCGTGCTTTTAGAGAGCTCGCAAAATCAATTTGGTCGACCTAAAAAAAGCTCGACAAAATTTTTGATCCGCCCCACCCCTTGAGAAAATCCTAGATCCGCCCCTGGCTCTGCAGGAGTTTTTTGTTGGAAACTAGCAAAACTAGATAGAAGACTCTTGATATAATTGCTTTATGATACTTAACGCGATTTATTATTATGCTATCTGCGTCAAATTTTCGCCAGTTTGTTATTGTATCAATCGAGCTTTGTTATTTGTAGCATCTTTGTTCTACTTCGAAAGAGTTTTGTCCTACAATCGATTTGTCATTTGACGCGAAATGTTTGATGCGGCTTCAGCTCGAAGTTACCATCTTTTATTCCCTTATACAAAATACACAACCAAGTGTTTGTCTTTCAGATTCTCACAATGTCTATCTTCGTTTCGATAGGATTTATTCTGAAGCATTGATTGCTATGATGGCAGAAACGAGAAGCTCGTCACAATTCCCGAGCTAATGACTGTGAATTACGGAAATCACTGAGCTTGCTTAATAAGTTACGACTAGTTATGACTAGCTGCAGAATAATTGACAGCTGAGTTTTGACATAAGGAATCTGTTCTGTCATTATAAGCCTGTTTTCCCTAATTAATTTTTTGCCTGGTCGCTTCCAATTTATTGTCTCTGGTTTTCAAAATATAATCCTGTGCAAGTCAGGTTTAATTTGGAAATCGTATGCTTTCATTATTATTCATCTCTATTATTGAAAACGAGCGCCTGAAACATTTGCCCTTAGATTTTACTTCCAGTTATCTGTCTTCTTTCTCCGTCTCTTCTGAACTGAAGTGAAGTGAAGTGAGGTGCCTTATTTGATGCTAGGATGGGTGCTAAGTTGTCTTCCATCCTTTTCAAAGGTAAGTCTCACAAAGACAAAATAAAGAAGAAGAAACACACTCAATGCCCCGCCTTAATGCACTCTGGCTTTGCTGCTCTGACCCCGACCCATCCCTCTAGTATTTCTAACTCTATCACGCGCATTGTCTGCACCCCCACTGTGCAGGGCGGGAGATGAGAAGAGAGGGGAGGAGATAGTACGTTGTGCATGTTATTTTTTGTTAGTAGTGTGAGGCCATGTGTAGCAAATAACATCTTCTTCCTACCCTCTCACAACTCTCCATTTCTTTTCTGTCGCCAGAAAGAAAAGAAGGCAGATTTAATTGATTTGTTCCGAGCGAGCCATTTAGAGCTTCTTCCTAATTGGCAATACTCTGTCCAGTTCACGGTGAAGTATTCTAATTGATTGGTGATATAGAGTGAAGAAAAGAGGAAACATAATCTTTTAAATGCAAATCGGATACTTTTTCTTTAATTAAAAAAGTATCCGGAAGCAGTTTTTTCATTAAACTCAATTAAATAGTTTAACCTGTGGGCAAAATATCCTGCGTGTTCAGTGCGGAAATTGGTTACTAGTAGCGGCATTTCCCTTCAATCGTGGAACAATGAAGTCAATGATATAATAAAGGTTGTAGAGTAAGAATCAGGGGTGTATTTGGGGCAGAAGAAATGTTTTTTTTTTTCAGTTAAAACTTGACAAAAGTTAAATTAATGGATGATCATTTTGGCCGAACCTAAACATGATGAAACAAAGCATTGCGTGAAATATGCTTTTTAACCTGCAGATCTTCTGCATCTTTGTGAGAATTATATGAAACCAGCAAATATCTCAAATGAGTGGCAGCTTGGAACGATTAAAGCTAGTCCCGGTATTTATAATGTCAGCGATTCTTAGAATAAGATACAAATGGATTAATTTTAAGAAGCGCTGGTTGAGTCATTTCATTGAATGAAATGCAAAAAAAATCCTGTTGCTTTTAGGATTTCAACGAGATCTTTGTTGCACCAGATTACCTGTACCTACCATTGCTTTCATCCGCGAATGATAAACCCTAATTTAATTACTATGCTTAATTTCCATTGGGATTTCCTCTGTCACAACAGTTGGATCATTATCTGGAACATTTCATTTACGGTGGCTTAAAAGAACACGCTAGTAACCGCCCGGCGATTGCTCCCAACCAATGATAGATATGTGAAAAGTTCTGTATATATTTTACCTTAAAGAATCTAATCATATAAGCTGCAGGTAGTTAATAAGCTAGTTAATAATTTATGTAGATCCCAGAATTAGTAGAACTATGTCAGATAAGCTTTATGGTTGTCTTCGCTAAGATGGCAATTGTTTCTCTTGAATTCAGCCAATGAAATGGACTGAAGATATTGTAGGTTATGATAGTTTTTTTATGATTCGGGAACAAGTTTGGTCACAGCTTACGAAAACTATAAATTCATAAACGCTAAATGTTTGTTGATTTCTTTAACATCAATGTTGTCATTTGGGAACGGCGAGTTTTTGCATGAGCTCTAGCGATGCCAAGATGCCTGAGATCTCGTGGTGTTCTAAGTGGCTAATAAGAGTTGGTTCTCAGGCTTGTTCTTAATTTAATGGTCGGTCATGTAAAACGTTGCATGGTGCGGCTGGAAAATTTATCAAAATATCAAAAAACCAACGGCTCTTTTTATATTGGATTTGTTGTTATAAGGAAAATTAAGGAAAATATTTTTGGTAGAGTTAGACTTAAATGTGTGTGTGGATATTAAATCGTGAATTACACAAGCAAAGCTTGTGTTATAGTATGAACTTTCTTTTTTTCCAACGTAAGTCGCAAATATTGCTGCGACGCAAACATTATTGTGACAAAATGTGTTCACTTTGAAAGTGTTTGTTTTGATCAATAACCAGCTATTAAGTGCATCCAATGCTAAGGATATTAACACAGACTATTATCTTACAAATAGCACTTTACCTTCAAGGTATCATGGGTCTGTAACGTATAGGCAGGGAAGGAGACCGGCAGCAAAATAATAGGGTTCGAACCTGGGCAGGGTCGGATGTTTTTAATGAAATTTTTCGTATACTAGTTGAAATGCGTCTGCTCTAAAAATGGAGGCCTTTTAGTTGGTATTTTTTTCAAATTGACTGGTACTGCTTATGCGTCATAATTGGCTTGCGTCACTTGGAAATTATGTAGACTCATAATTGGCGTGCGTAACTTATGAAATTTTGTAGACTCAAAGTTTTACTCATTCAGTTTTCCCAGTAGCGTTATCGGTCATAATTTTGCTCGTGTATGCGAAGTGCAACTTCGCTTCTATGTATATTCATCTAAAACGAAGTGTTGTTTTCTGTTACGTTTCTATTGACTAAATTGTCTCTGATGGCCCTGTTTTTGAGTAAAAGTACTATAGGTCGTATATGGGAGTGTGTGAAAATCTATCATTTTTTTCAAATTGTTTTCTCAGTACTTTTTTGCGCCAAACCAGTATCAATTTAAGTGCTTGTTTGTCCACGTTGCAATCGATAGATCTTAGGTAAATAGGCGATTCTGGCAGATAAAACATTTCTTGCTCAAAAATATACTCGAGAAAAAGTGTTTTTAAAGTCCTTCGTTTCTTTTGTATCACATTTGCATCATCTTAGTTGCCTTTCGTAGCTTTCTTTGAAAATTTGAACCCAACCGCAGGCTCTTTGGGACACAGAAAATTCTTAAAAATCAGGCAGTTACGAATTTGTTTTTGTCGTTGCAAATTTTTGGTTGTCACATATTTTTGTGCTCATTGGAGTAGCGTAGCTTGTGCTTAAGTACAAGTCATTTTTATTTCCTAGTAAATTCGCGAGTTTTCTTTCAAGTAGGTCTAATGGGTTTTTCGTTTGTTTTTATTTAGGAACGTCTTAGAATTTTCTCACGCTCACAATTTTGTTTTATGACTTCGCTTTTTTGGTTGAAGCTAAAGGCGCTCGCTCTTCATTGACAAGTTGAAAATGGCGAAATAGATTGTGATTGACTTAACTATTACAGTTTCGGTTGCTAGAATTGAATTATTTTCAGCTGTCATTGAACGTAGCAAAGTCCCGTGTGTAGGTAGCGTTGTTTTCTTTCATTTTTTTTCTATTTTTGATCGTTGGCTGTTTGACTTTTGATTTTTTCTCAGGTGTTTTTTCAAATCGTGTCATGGTTTTTGTTCGAGGTATTTTAAGCTATTTAACTGTTTGTGATTGTAAAGTTCAGCTTTGCGCCCATGTGTCCTTTTGATTTGAATTATTCTCAAAGGTTTAAATTTGCCTATGCGTTTTGTGAGCGTGATAGAGACTGACGGTCTTTATTACGATTTGTCAGGTTTTAATGAGAAATATTCGACTAAGTTAAGATCTTCAACCTAGCGATTATTAAGAGTCGATGTACGTAGTTCAGACTCTAATATAGGTTAGGATGATTTTTTTCAGGAATAGTCTGGCTCAAAATTACTTTTTCGCGGTTTGACTTTTGGTGTTTTTAGTTCTGCTCATTTAATTGTTAAAAGGAAGACTAACTCCACTATCGAATAGCGAAAATGTAAAAGTCACGAAAAACTTAATCGACTTCTTTTTTCGAAAGTGGAATTAAATTATCGAATTTACCAGTGAAATAAAAGTTTTACCAATTGATCCAGTTTTTTCAAATTGGGTTATTTTTATCAAAAAAGTGACCATCAAAAAGTGTTCTTGAAGTTCAAAGAGTTTTAAAGTCATCTATTTGTTTCTTTAAAAAGTTCTTTAAGTTTCTAAAAAGTTAAATCCGTATTTTTTTTTCTGTTTACTTGCGTTCATTGACTATTTTGCAACTGTCTGTTGGCTGTGTTTTAAATTAAATTTGCTCAGCGCAGCGTGTAGAATGCTCTATTATGAATGGCTGAAAAATTGAACTCAGAACAAAGTTAATATCCTGCCCTTAAACGGCTTTGGGGAAAGATGTTAACTCAGTCCAAAAATTTAAAACGTTTTATTTTGTGTCACAACCGGTGCTGATCACTTTAGTTAGCGAGTGAGAAACTACTAAGTAAAGGTAATCCAGCTACGTATATGTCACTTGATTTGATTTTAAAGAGTTGTTCATTTACCTTCAACGAGTAATGCCTGATTTTGAGTTTTTTAATCAATCCTGATAATTTCAAAAGCTGTTTGCATAGGTTTTGAAATTATATGCTGAATCGATATACTCATTCAGACAATTCTATTGTTTGTTTCTGGTTTTTCTTGAAAACTATATTAAAGTTGAATTTGGTCGCGGTTTGTAAATTTGGTTGCGGTTTAAATATTCGATCTAAGTGTCATCTGTTGTGCACGCAAAAAAATAGCTCTTTTAGCTTTTAATTTTTTGTTATAGGGTGACAATTTGTAACAGCCGGCTATTTGTATCAAGCGACACTTTGTAATGCTCTTTGATTTTGAGGAGTTAAAACAATTTAAAATTGATGAAGAAAGGCCTTGCAAAATATTGTTTATTTGACAGTTTTGGTAGTTTTTAGTGGCTTGTATCTGGATCTAATCCGTACAAGCTTTTTTGCGTCTAAGCTTTGCTCCCATTGAAAATATCGGTGAATTTTTGGATGTGCATACCTGGTTTCCATTAGGAAAGCCCGTTGCCAGCTTTCAAAAGGTTTTTCTTCTTGTCCTGAGCGCTTTCCAAATGGTTATACAGCTTTGGATAAAAAGTGCTTCGATTCCGGCGGCTTCTCCTTCGCGGCGGCTTCTCTTTCGCCATTTTGCCAAGTCAAGTCTTCTCGAACTACTCAATATCTGGAACCGTCGACGAATCTTTGATTGTTTCATCAATGAAGCACTTAAATCCAAGTTTTCTTGTATAAAAATTAGCGCAATGAAAGCTGAAGTTTTTATCGGAGTTATAGATGGGGATTAGTCCAAAATAAAAAACTAGCCACGGTTATTTTTTATGGTACGTTTGACTCAAAATATACGGTTTCTAGCAGTCGGGTTGAACTTCAATCGCCTGCATCTCCCAGAAAATTACCAGCATGC